TACCTTTTTAAAATCACATTATATATACTATTGTATATTATGTGATTATATAGAGGTGCTTCTATTTAGTCACCCCTTTACATAATCACCAAAAGTGTTAGACAAACTGGGTGATTATATGGGAGGAAGACTGTAAATAATGAGGTAATCTAGAATAGACAAAGATCGTATAATTAATTAAATATACAATAAATTAAGAGAAAGTCAAAAATCATATGATATTGATATTATGATGTAATTCTAATGTATGGTATATAAGAAAGTTGAGCAAGATTTACCTTTTTGCTTTCAAAAAAAAATTATAAGAAAACCTGTGATAACCACCTTATAGTGTATAAGTGGTGCATTACCCTGTTTTGCCGAAAAATACAATATAACACTCGTAGGCATCATTTTGAAAATCGAAATAACATATAGTCTTGAATTAGCACCCCGAATTAATGAGTATCCTAATGTAATACATAATTTATTGTTGCAATAGGTATACAATTCATACTTCATATGCACACTCTATAAGTGCACATAATTTAATTAGCCTAATGTAATTATTTACTATTATAGAATTAAAATTGGATTGGTTTTTATTCTTTATTTTTTTTGTTAGAAATTTGCACTTCAGATGGGACGATATAATTTAAAGTAATTAGTAGTTTTTTTGCGCAACTACTATAAAAAATCTCTAGTTGGATTCTGATCAAATGGAAACCAAATCCGCATGATACAGGTTCAAATTCTAGCTTGAATTTGATTCGTACTTCAGATCAAATCTGAATATTTAGAAATATTTACCAGAATCAAGCACTACTTAGTTGCAAAAACTCTGTTATGAAAATTACTTGTCATTCTGGTAACTATAATGTGCAACTAAGATAAAGTTAGCTATTGTTACAATTCTATTGTAAAAATTCTTCTACAAAACTTACTATCCCAATGATATATAGTACTTAGTTTATTAATGTATATTATATTATACATAATTGTAAAAAATTTTTTAATTACATATATATGGATCCTTTAAAAAATCCTTCTGCCATCTCTCATGTAATTTGAGAACATGCTACCATAAGTGCATGAATAGAATCATCAGATGCACTCATAAAATCCCTATTACACTTAATCCAACTTTTTACAGCACTAAACGCATTCTCTAATGGGTTAAAGTCTGGCAAATAGGCTGGAAGAAATTCAATGCAATATCCCAATTCTTTTATCATTTCAACCAACTCATAATTATGGTAAATTTTTGCATTATTGAGGATAATAACACTATTTTTATCAGGATACAAATTCATTAAAGGGATCTAAATTAAAAAAAATGTAATTTATCTAATGTAGTCTTATATAATTTAAACTAAATACTAACCAACTGCGATAGTACAAATTCTGAAAATCGTTCTTTGGTACAACTTCCCTCCATTATATCTAAAGTGACTATTCCATCTAACAACAATGCTGATAAAATAGTATATCTTTTAACTCGCAAAAAAACACAACTTTTGCGTGCCCATGCATTAGCCACCGCATATTTATAGTATTGTGTAAGGCTTCGCTCATCTTTAGCGCTTTAATCTATAAATTTTAATTGATCAGGTTTATAATTCATTCTGATCTTGGTGATGAATGCACAATGAACGATTTCATTTCTTTTTTGTGCTGCTTTCTGCAACTTAAATAATAAATAATTATTAGCTAAAACAAAAATTATAAAACTAAACCTAATTTAAATAATTACCATTTTGTGAGTAATATTCAAATACTGTAATGAATGCTATAAAGCTGGAATTGAAGCATGTTTACTAGTTAAATTTTCCATTTCAACAACAAGGTACCAATCAACTTGTTCTTCAACCAGATTCTTAAGAATATCTAATTCTTCGTGCAAAAATAACTTTTGTCTTCTTGGTGGAGTTTTAAATGGATTAACTACATGATTCTATTTGTCAAAGGTCTGGAGAATTCTACTAACAGTTGGTTGACTTATATAGAGGGTTTCGGCAATTTCATATTTATTTAAACCATTAGCGTAAAGGTATACTACCCACCAATGCAAATCTTCACTTAGTTCTCATCTCATACTATTAAAAAAAATTACTGTAGACTTTAAATAGTCTCAAAACTCTTTCTGACTAACAAGTAGGATTTCAAAAGACTTTTTTTTTTTTTTTTGGTTAAGAATAATAAGACTTTAAAACATTCACTTATAAAGTTTTTTTTTTGTTTGGGAAAAAAACATTCATTCGTTTATAAAAGTTCTTTATTTTATTTTTTTTTTTAAAGTGTGAACCATAACAATTCTAGATCATTCTCTTTTTTGTAAAAAGACTTTAAAATTCTCTCTAGTTGTTTACTACTAATAAAAAAACTTTAAAGACTAAAAAGAACCCAGAAAAATTAGGAGTCCACTTAACTGCTTTAGTATTCATATGTATACGCTAGTAAAAAGACTGTAAAAAAGCAAATATAATGATAATAAGGGTATAAGAAGTAATTGTTAAATGAGGTTTCACAAAGTATGATGAATATAAGATAACTGCCTATGACATAATTATAGAACTTATGGAACTCATGGGACTCAGGGACAAAAAAAAAATTATGCAAAATGTGTCGATTCAACTAAATCGAAAACAGCTATAATACATATTTCTCTTCAAAGTCAAGTGTTGATAATTCTAATTTGAGTAATTTGGCTAAAAAAACTAATTCAACTTGAACAAAGCTTCTTTTTACTTATCATAATATTGTCGAAGAGTTAAAGGGTACTTCTGAAACTGAAGATTCACATTCAATCACTTCAAGTAACATAGCTGGTAAAATTAATTGTGTTCTTATATAGTGAATAAGAATTTTTCTTTGAAGTGTGAAAAAATCAATGATTTTAATGAGATTTTTAATAATGTTGATTTTCATCATTTTTATTCAGATGAGATTTTTGATAGCAAAGATATTAGAAATGGTGAGATGAAGATATGTCTAAAAAATAAGGGTAAAAAGAGTGCTACATATAACAGTAAAAAGAGATGTGATGGTACAGGAAGATTTACTCATAATAGTTTGAAATCTAGTGATTCTAATATTGTTTTTGAAAAATAGTGATTATGTTTTTTTTTTTTTTTTTTTTAATATTTAAGGTGAGACATTGCTCTTATCTTTATTAAACTTAATGAAAACTTTTTACATAACTGAAAAAGGTTTTATATTTTAAGCCTAGTGCTA